CATGGCTGATGATGTCCATCCCTGTGGCCTTAGGACACAGGGTCCCCACTCTACATCATGAAAGTGTCTCATAGTTCTGACCATTTGAACTGTAAATTTTTATCTTTTCTCCTAGGTGGATGTGGGGATAGTGGCTCAGTGTGTGATGTAGTTAGTGTCCTTGGGAAGTCTCAAGATTTTACCCCTCCAAATTCCACTTTGGACAGTGATATGTTGGACTAGATGGCCTTTTGTCATGGTTGTGTGACTGCAAACTCCACTGGTACTCAAGGATTTCTGATCAGTTTCTGTACCATAGCTCTGTGTCAGAGAACATTTACTGAACATGAGAAGGGTCTGGTATGGGTAACAACTGGTATCTCTCTCTTTAGAAAAATATCACAGAAGCCTACCAGCTCACCAAGAAGTCTCAAAAGACAATGGGGAAGGTAATTAGAATTGCCATTCCTGAGAACAAAACTGTCCACAACTACAGCATCCAGACCATGAATTCCTCAGAGCTTGCTAAGAAGCAGATGTTTAAAGAGATGGCCAAGGTGAGTGACAAGGCAGCTGGCTAACACTTACTGTGATGTTGTTATGAAGCGATACCGTGACCAAAGCAACTCTTCTAAGAAAGCATTTAATTGGGAGCAGAGGGTTACTCTATGATCATCATGGTGGAAAGCAGACAGGTGTGCTGGAGCAGAAGCTGAGAGATTGACCTCCTGATCCCCAGGCAAGAACAGGAAAGGGGAAAGAGACACACGGGCTGGTGTGGGCTTTTGAAACTTCCAGGTCCACCTCCCATTGGCACACCTCCTCCAAGACCACATCTCCTGATCCTTCTCGAACAGTGCCACTCCCTGGTGACTAAGCATTCAAATATATGAGCCTATGGGGGGCATTTTCACTCAAACCACCCACCACACATAAAAGCTTTTCTTTCTCTGACCAAGGGTGGGTGAAGTCAACCATTTAGGAACAGTGGACAAAGGATCAGGTGATGGGAGAAGAATGTGACTTTCCACGTTCTAGAGAGAGCCAGAGGTGCTCAGCACATGCTCAGACACACATGGTTGAGAATAGTACAGAAACTGTTCTGGGGAGAACTGTGTTGCTATGGAGACAACCATCCGCCATAAGAAAAACCATTTAGGTTTTTAGCACCCACTACATGTAGAAAATGGATTTCTCTGTCAAAGACAATGGTGTGACTCTCACAGGTCTGCCTTAAGAGTTTAGTTAGTTTGAGTACACAGTGTCAGGACTTTGCATTCGTTATGTCCCCAGATGTTTCTGATACCTGCTTGGAAGCTTGATTGCTACTAAGCCCCCTTTAATGCTATTCTTACAAAAAGTTGTCTCCTCACTTCTAGGAGCCAAGGAAGAGATTCACATATTCACAGAATTTCCTCTCAGCCATGGTGGATGTTCGGGACCCAAAGGAAGAGGAGAAGAAAGCCCAGAAGAAGTCCCGCCAGGCCTGGCTCACAGCCGGTGGGTTCCAAGTATGGGGTCTTCAGAGCACCATTGGAAGCCACCAGCAGGATCTTAGACTGCCACCCATCAGAGAGCTAAATGAGGTCTTCAGGGAGGAGCAGGGCCTCAAGTCGGGGGTGCTTAGGGAAGTCCTTCCCCTCACTCACTTGCTGCTCTTGTTTAGGAGTGGCAAGAAAACGCACTGTTCGCTAACGTGCTGAAGCCTGTGCTGGATCGGGATAGGTGGAGCTGGAGTCAGCGCCGCCTGGATTTTGACCTGTACAAGAAGCCGCCACTTTACTTTCAGTTGCCCCGTCTTCCAGCTCCAAAGCCTGCAACTGGTAAGATAACACTTCTGAGCTGAGGCTGGAGGAACTGCTGGCAGACTGAGCTCTGGCCCACTGGCATCTCTGGCACTGTGTGCTGGGTTTGCATTTGTAGTCATCCTTTCTGGGTTAGGAAACCAGGATTTGGAATGGGTCTGGTAGATGTAGGGCTGAAACTCAGGATACCTGGGCTGCAGGTCTATGTGGGGGATGCTGATTGGATAATTTTGGACAAATCTCTTTGGGCCAGATTTCTTGGTTATAAAATGGGAGATTAGAAGGTATATTAGTGGCTTGTGAAGTTTCAACATTGTGACATGGGTTGGCTTCTGAGCAGAGACCCAGGACCTCATGGGGGAACTTCTAACTCCATTCTAGTTCTAGATGCTGCTGGAATTACTGGGGAAAAGTGAATAGTATCAGAGGCATAGGTCTTGCTTAACCAGTCTTCCAAGGCCTTTTCTCTTCCCTTACACAGTCTATTTATGGAGAACATATATTTTTTTTCTCTAAAAGAAGCTGAAACCTTGTTCAGGGAGAGCATATACATTTATCTAGCAGTGAGAGTTGCCAAAAAAAAAAAATTTAGAGAATGCTAGATTCAATAAAGAAGGGGGAATCTGTCTTCTGGATTCCTGAGGGACCTGGATACATTGGAATAGTTCCACAAAACTGGAAGCAGTGATAACTTGCCTGACAGGGGCTCTCTCCCTAAGTGTGGATGCTGCTCCTGAACTTCCGGGAAGGCCGTTATTTTTCTGAGACTGGAGAGAACCTGTGTGTTGCTGCTCCAGTTCAGAGTCAGTGGTGCTGTAGACAAGGCTCTGGTGAGCGGGCAGCACATAGCACAGAATGCCAGACTTGCCACTGGATTCCACTGCTGGCCTTTTCAGTTGAACCTCCTGGCATGAGACAAGAAAGAAGGCTGGGTGAGTGCTTACCTGCTCCTATCAAGTTCAAGAAACACAGAGGAGAACCAAACTAGAGTTTAAGTCTCTGGAATCCAGATGGTTGAAAGGACAGCCTGGTGCAACCATCCTACAGGTCAACACATCCCACAGGGCTACTGGAAACAGGGTTTAGTGGCTCTTCCCAAGCTTTCCTAATGTAGAGTATTATTCCATGCAGCCCCTTTTCCCTGGTTCTTAAAAGGTATGTACTGGCCACTTGTACAAAGTTCCCCCTTTGTTAATTCGTTAGTCCCCCTAGTCGACTAATCTCTGTAAAGTTAATTTCCAAGTCATAGCCCTGGCAGAATGCTTGGGCCAGCCCAGCTCTCAAAGCCCCAACCTCCCCTCTGTCTATATCAAGAATCCAAGCTAAGTAGAGGAAAAGAGTCGGATCTCCTCTTCCCAGAGCCCTAAAACCAGGCAGAGGCTTGTCTGCCAGACAATGAATATCCTGCACAGCATCAGAGAAGAGCCTGGAGAAGAGCAGCCTGTCAGCGCCAGCTATACTGTCTTCTGTAAGCTGTGAGGCCAAGCCTCGCAGAGAAATGAGAAGTCTTATATGGGAACACGTACACATGGCCACAGTCCAAGGTGGAGCCATTTTCCCATGACTGGGAGGCACTGCTGACTTGAGCACCTACTGAGAGCATTAGGGCTGTAGGAGGGCACCCCTCCTCGGTGCTAGGACCTCATCTCACACAGTGAGAAAAGGGGGCCTAGAGGCTCTCAACAATGGCTTCTCAGGCTCCTGCATGAAAAGCTGGCTTAGAAGGGTAAGAGACCCAGGACATGAAGACTAAAAGGGACACAAACTTTGACATTTATACTCCTTTGTTGACAAGTGCTTCTGACATATGCTGTAAGCGTATTTTGGTTTTAGTTTCTACGAGTAATATGGACACAGCTTCATAGCTATTTCTGATTGTGTGAACTAGTAAAAATGGCTGCCCTCACCTCAATTCTCTATGAGCCTTAGAAACGACAGCATGAACCTCAGTTTCCACTCTGGTACCGGCTAAAGAATTGGTGCAGCCTCACACAGCAATTGCATGCTCTGTTCAGAATCTGTGGTCTCTATAGCAGCAGGGCCTCTGCTCAAACCTAGCTGTGGCTTCTTAAGGAAGGAGAAAGCCCTCTAGTATGCAGGTGAGGGAGTCTCCCTAATGAGGGCAAGATCTCCATTTTTTTCAGTCAGGGTCTCAAGTTGCTTAGGCTGGCCTTGAACTCACTGTGTAGCTGAGGCTAACTTTGTACACATGATCTTCATGCCTCTACCTCTCAGGTGCTGGGATTACAGACGTGAGCCACTTGGCCTGGAATAAGATACAGGGACTCCATCCTTTCTCGGAATGCTGTTTAGAGATAGACATATGTATGCTTCTAAAGATCATCTAGGACACTTTTATTTTTCTTCAAGGAGAGAAGCATGAGTGACCTGTCTGCACCATAATCATACATGTGGGCTGATGAGGGTGTTTTTTAACAGTCCCACAATTCCCACACCAGGAAGCTGCCTCCAAATGAACTCTCCTCAAAGCTCTAAGATCTTACAAAAGAAGAGAAGAAGAGAGAAAGCCCTTATCAGCAATTGACTCCTGGAGGGAGAAGCCATTTTGTTAGCATCTTGTCAGAGTCCTGCAGGCCATGTTCTTCTACCTTATCTGGATTACAGAGTGTCAGCGGACCCTGTGTCTCTCTCTCCTCAGTGAGATCCAGTGGACCCTGTCTGTCTCTCTCCTCAGTGGGGCCCAGTGGACCC